CCCTGCCCCAGTCACTGCCTCCCCTCACATGTCAATTTTCTGGGCACATTGGACTGTTTACCGAGCTTTGATGCAGAAGCCTGTTTCTAGGCCTCCTTGTTCTTATACTCTGAAATCTCTGCTGCCTGGAATTTACTTCCTCAGGCCCCGTGTTGAGCTTGCCCCCAGCAGTGCTCTCCACTTTGGAACCCTCCCCTTCCCTCTGCTGTGCTGCCTTGGGTGAGCTGCCCTCTGTCTCCAGCCCAGGTGCTCCCTTGGGGACTCCCGTTAGAATGACAGCCATTCAAGTGTGGACACTTGTATACTTGGTTGTTGACCAAGTGACTCTGCTCTCACATTAGCTCTTTGGGCAGCTCCTTATTCACCTTCCCCAGCTCCTGGCATAATGCTTGGCACTAATACACCCTCTGATTTTCTGTTGAACAAATGAAAATATAAATTCATAATGATAATGACCATCGCTGCGAAGCCCCAAAGCACTCAGCATGTGCCGGGCCTATTATAGGAGCATAATGTGTGCTAAACTGTGGGTCTTTGACCACATGCCTGGGCTGGTTCTGTCCTCTGCCCAAGTGGAGGGACTGGGGCCCTCCATCCTCAGCATGGGTGGATAGAGCTGCTGGCCAGTATGGCCACAACCCCAGGGACAGTAGATTGGTCTGAAGAGGAGGAAGAAAAGGCAGGCCCTGCCCCCTGTCTCTGGGCCTGGGTTTGGGTGAATTTGTTTGTTTCCCTCCAGCTGCTGGCATGGATTATCTTCAAAGAGGTAATTGGAACTAAGTAAATTGGCTGTGGGATGTGTACTCTGGAGCTTAAGGCCTCTTCTGGAGGACCTGGAATTAAACCTGGAAAGCTCTGGGGCGCCGGAGCCACTCCGGGAGGAGCTGCACTGGGTGAAACGGTTTGTAAGTAGGTCACGGCAAAGAACATGAAGCTGCCTCCCACAGCCTGTCAGAAGAAAAAGTGGGGCAGAGCCCATTAGAGACCCCAGCCCGAGTCTGCAGGGCCACCAGCTGCATGCTTCCCGTGAGTGCTGTGGCTTCGTCCTGGATGGCAGAGAGGGCTGTGCAGTTCCAGTCCCTCCCGGCCTCTGGGTAGGGCCACGACCACCGACCACCTAGATGCCGCCCGGACTGGCCCCAGACATGGTACCACCGGCAGCTTTATGACCCTGTCTGCTGAGTTTGCAACAGTTCAAGCCCCACACTAAATGCTTTCTGCAGTATCTCACTTGATCTTTCTAAGATCTCACTTGATCTCACTAAGATTTCCTGTCTTAGTGTTTTTTTGTTTTTTTTTGTTTTGTTTTTGTATTGAATCTGGTTTTCTGTGATCCCTGTTCCTGGGTTAGTCCGGGAGGACAGACCAGGGAACAGGAACAAACTGGAGTTAGGAGGTGCAATCATCTTTCCTGCATGACTGTGGGGTCCCTCCTTCCCAGGAACAGGATACGATAGTTGATTAGTGTTGCTTAAATGTATTGCAATTAATTCCTCTCCAGTTTTCTGGCACTCCAGGGCTTAGGCTGTCCTCTAAATCTCAGTCCCAGGTTAGTTGTAAAATCTTGATTTATCTCTCAGAGTAGGTGTGCTAACACATTAGTTGGCTTGAATTATTTAAAGTTATCACGGAAAGGTCTTATTTCTATTGCCCGTCCTGATTTGCACTTTAAATATAGTTCCCTGTAGCAACTCACAGGAATTCATGTTGAAAATAGAAAAGGGAAAATTACTTTTAAACAGCAGTTTGGCATATAAGAGCATGATTTACCTTGGAATACTTCTCCAACTGCACATTAAGGCCAACCTTTCAAGAATATTTTTTCCCACTGAATCTGGAAATTAGTATGAAGCCAAACAGCGAACATCCAGCCTCAGGTGGCCATGCCCTTTGGCAGAGCAGGGGGGATCCCTTCCTCTTTCCCCCATCCCTGGAGCTTGCAGTGTTAAAGTACCACTGTGTGCTCTTCTTAGGGGTTTGAAGGTGAGGCAATTTCTTATCTCACTTGCTCATTTTTCTCCCTCTTCTCAAATTTCACCATTTCTCCTTCACATGCTTGAAGTGTGGAAGCTGGAATTTTGTTGGTAGGAATTTAATAAAGGATCCATTCTTTTAAGATTGGCTTTATTAGTGGTATAGCATAGGTTGTGCCTTCAAAACGCATCTGGTTTCCTGGTGATTTGTTTAGATTATGGAAACATAAAGGTGAAAACAAAAGGTAAAAAGATATTTTTTAATATTCATTTAGTGACGATTATCTTGCGATATAATTTGCTCTTATACCTGAGCATAACTCCAAAGCATGTCTTATGTCAGTGCTTTATGTATTTACTTTTTAAAGTAAGCTCTGTGCCCAGCGTGGGACTTGAACTCACAACCCCAAGATCAAGAGTCACATGCTCTACTGACTGAGCCAGCCAGACGCCCCTGTGTTACTGCTTTAAATATTACACAATTTATTTCAATCATGGGGAAAATTTCACAGCAGAGTGTCATAGAGACAGATGTTGGTTTTGTGTTTTTTTTAAAAGAATATCTTGACTCTGGGCCTTTGTATTTTCAGAGGGAACTAAAATCTAGTTTACTCCTAACTGTAGGTAAGCCTTGCCTGAATAAAGGTACACTGTCTTGATTGTGACAAAGAGGATTTGTAGAATCCACTTATTTATTGGGAATGTCTTCCTTTCATGTAATTCCTGAATTAAATGTACTCAAATGACATTAGTTGCTCGCTTATGAAAGGTGATGCGTTAGTAAGTTTCAGAACTAATACCAAATAAAGGCATGTTTTCTTCAATATAGAGTCTGCATTCTAAAGGACTTTTGTGTTGACATACTCTTCCTTTTCACATAGCCATCTGGCCTGCAAAAAAAGTGAGGTAAGACTAAATCCTGGTTATTACATGATGAGTCACTGAATGTGTTAAGCTGAGAAGGGTTTTTTTTTTTTTATCTTGACAAAAGAGGGAATTCTAGCCCAGGGAGCTTTGACTGTCTGTGTTTGGAATTAAGAATTGATGGAGTCGGCAGGGACGGATTTTGGACTCAGAGTCGAGTCTTAGATTGACCATGGTTGTTGTATCCTGCACGCTGTTGGAATGTTCTATTTCCTGCAGTTCTGTGGTGCTAAGTGAGATTAATGTGTTGTGGCTTCCTTACATGATATTCATTAATAATTCTGTTTTTGATAGCTTCTCGAGGGCTTTCATGTGTACATACTAGTTTGGAGGTAAATAAAATAAGACCAAACCAAAGAATTAAATACCCAGAAGCAGACTTTAAAATGGTATTTGGGGTTAAATTCTTTCTTTCTTCTTAGAAGTTAATGAATGATTTGGGCTTTTTGGTTGCCTCCTTCTGTGTGTGTGTGTGTGTGTTTATAAAATGAAAAATTAGATCAGATTGTAGTGAAAATAAATTGGTTGGGGGACACACACTAAATTCCTTCATTTTGCTTGATGGATGTTCCCTAGTGTAAGGAGTAGACAGCCTGTTAGTGGTGTGTGATCCCAGGGCTATCGCAAAGACTTGCATTCACTCATTCATTCATTCATTCATTCATTCATTTGATAAATATTTACTGACCTTCTCCTGTGTGCTGGGCTGTGTTCTAGGTATGGGGCACCACATTCCTGCCTCCACAGAGCTTACAACAAACTAATATGTAAGGGAAGCAATAAACAGATAAATAGGTATTATGTCAGTGGTGCAGAGTGCTCTGGAGAAGAATAAAGCACAGTGAGAAATGCAAGGAGGGGTGGAGTTGGGGATTTATTATTTATATGAGACAGTCTCAGCAGGGCCTCCTATAACATCTGCTGTTACCTAAATTTCACACAGAGAAGTTCATTTGGCTTACGTTTCAGGCTCACCCTGCCTTTTGAGATGTCATCTTGGAAATGGAAATAATTAAACCATGGTAATCATTTACGTCTTAGTGTGGATAGGTTTTAGATGATTTTGTTTGAGCAAATGTTAATGGGAGAGAACTAGAGGCAATGAATGTCCGGGGGTGGGGGCAGGGAGAGGTCTTCTTCTGCCTCTCAGGAGCACCTCCCCCCTTACCACAGGAGACCTACCACTGAAGCTTCTTGTACCACATTTCTACTCTATGGAATCGGCTGTCTGACACTTTTAGTCCATTATTGCTCTACGGCGTTGCCCATTTTCTCCGGGGGATGCTAATTGGAGAAATCAAACTCTGTGAGATGCTTTCCTCTTAGCTCCTCAGGAGAAATGCACGTAACTTTAAAGTATATTTTTTCTTGTCTAGTTAACCTGCCTGCCTTTTGGGTTTATTATTTTGCTTTATATTTTCTAAGTGTTACTATCATGTTGTTGTTATTATAAATGTGGAGCCTAGATGTGTCTCTAGGGTTATAGGCCTATCTTTATTTGTGGGCCCCAATGCAAAGCATTGAATCCTTCTAAATAGGGAAGGATTTTAGTTCCTCTCGCTGTCTTGGCCCCATTGTGTTAGTGGTTCTGTGAACTGTCCCCTGCGTGCGGTAGCATCATCTATACCAGACTTCTAACTGACAGGCCCTGAGACTGAAAGCTTGCCCCAGATTTAGCTCTGTTGCCTGCCAGGCCCTGGCTGTGATCGTGTGAGCAGGAATTTGTACTGCTTCCCTCTAGATTCTCAGGAATTCCCCTTTGCCTTGGAAGGCATCGTTGAGGTTGCTAAGAAGTTGTATTTTGTACACATCTATTTTGTAGTTTCTATCCGTAGACACAAATGGTGTACACAGATTCCAGTTTCTTTGAGGTAGTATTTCTTCAACTTGGTAGCCTAAGCACGTTGGCTTCGCACCGATGAATAATTTCAGGTCCAGAGATGAACATGGTACTAGTTTGCAGCAAATGCAGCTGCTTTTAAGAATGAACAAAGTATGTCTTATTAAAGTACTCTTTTTTCCTCCTCATTTTAAGCAAAACTGTGAACATGAGAATGAATCTTAACTGATAATTTTAATGTAAAAATGTTTTCTTTTTTCCAGCCTTTGCTTTGGTTTCTGAAGATATAAAGAAAGAGGTCAAGCAATCTAAGGTACTAATTCTAATGATCAAATCAATTCTTCCTGTCTGAGATTCATTTATATTTTCATTCATTTATGTTCATGCATTATATTTTCTTTGATAGCAGCTGTAATGATTTCATCTTTTAGTAGTTCTCAGGTTTTTTTTTTTTTTACAAGTTAGTGAAATTTTGGTCAACATAGATTTTTAATCCATAGTGGCAACCTACAGATAAACTTGCTTTATTTTTTTATTCTTTATTTAATTTAAACCCAAATTAGTTAACATATAGTATAACAATGATTTCAGGAATAGAATTTAGTGACTCATCACTTCCATGTAACACCCAGTGCTCATCCCAACAAGTGCCTTCTTTAATGCCCATCATTCCCTTAGCCCATCTGCCCACCCATCATCCCTCCAGTAGCCCTCAGTTTGTTCTCTGTAGTTAAGAGTCTCTCACGGTTTGTTCCATCTCTATTTTTATCTTATTTTTTTAGATAAGCTTGCTTTAAAAAAAAAATCCCTTAGTAGTTACAGCAGGCCAAGTAGGTTTCCAAAAAAGTATTTTGATATGGATTTAGACATTTTGGAAGTCTTGCTTGGACACCTTAGTTTTCTCGAGTGTGACTGCGTCTAGACTTGGGCTTCATTTTCCCAGTCTCAGGGATAAGTAGTATGCTATGTCCCTGGGGTCACAAGAGCCTGAGTCTTCCTCACCTTGTAGGTGGCACTATGTAATGATACTGAAGATGACTGCCAGACTCTTTGCACAGTTGGGACCAGGAGCTGAGACCTGGGGGACCAATGGAGATGGGACAGAACTTACCCAAATCTCAGAGCGGCTGCTTTCTCATAATTGTTTGTGTTCAAGAACCTCACCTGAAAGTCTACCATTTCGGCTTTGCACTAGATGAGTTTAGAAGATGAGAGAGAGAAACAATATTTTAAGAATGTGAGTTGCCTTTATCATATTAGCTAAGGCTCAGTTGACTTCATTTATTTAATCCTATGATTAGTGTAAAAGCATGTTTTTAATGGAATGTTTCTTTTGTCAACACAGTGTTATCTTTTCTAACCATACTCTGGGTTTCCTACACAGGAACAATAATAATGCTTTCCTTTGGTTTTAAGATCCTTTATGGTTAATAAAACATTTTCAGACATTTCACTTCAGACTTGTTCTTCACAATAATCCTGTTATTGCTAAGCAAAACAGATATTCCCATGTCCAGGCACACCGCAGGGAGGCTGTGGGTTTGGTTTCACCGCAGTAAAGCGAGTTAAATGCATTTTTTTGCTTTCCAGTGCATAATAAAAGTCATATTTACACTATAGTGTAGTCTGTTAAGTGTGCAATAGCGTTATGTCTAAAAAATATACATACCTTAATTACAAAGTACTTTATTGCTACAGAATGCTAACCATCATCTGTGCTTTCAGTGACTTGCCATCTTTTTGCTAGTAGAGGGTCTTGCCTCAATGTTGATGGCTGCTAACTGATCAGGGTGGGCTTACTGGAGGCTGGAGTGGCTTTGGCAGTTTCTTAAGACAACAGTGAATTTTGCCTCATTGATTGACTCTTCTTTCATGAGTGATTGCTCTGTAGCGCGTGATGCTGTGTGAGAGCGTTTCACCCACAGTAGAACTTCTTTCAAAACTGGAGTCAGTCCTCTCAAACCCTGCTGCTGCTTTCACCACTAAGTCTGTGTAATATTCCAAATCCTACGTTGTCAACCTTCACAGCATCTTCACCAGGAGCAGATTCCGTGTTGAGAAACCACGTTCTTTGCTCAGCTATGAGACTCAGTCCTCACCCAATCACGTTCCATCACGAGATCATAGCCATGCTGTCCACCTTCAGGGCCCCTGTCTGGTTCTGGTTCTCTCCCTGTTTCTACCACATCCACAGTGACTGCCTCCACTGATGTTCTCAACACCCCCAAGTCATCCCTGAGTGTGGGAATCAACTTCTATCAAACACCTGTGCATGTTGATATTTTGACCTCTTCCCACGAATCATGAATGTTCTTAATGACATCTAGAATGTTGAATACTTTCCAGAGGTTTTCAATCTGCTTTGCCCAGATCTATCAGAGAATCACGTGAGAGCTATAGCCTTACAAATGTGTTTCTTTTTATTTTTAATGAAACCATTTTAATTCTAGTGTAGCTAATATACAGTGTTATTTTAATTTCAAGTGTATAGTGTGGCAATTTAACAATTCCATGTATTACTCAGAGTTCATCAAGATAAGTGTGCTCTTGATTCCATTTACCTATTTTACACCCCCACCCCCCACCCCATGGCAACCCTTTGTTCTCTATAGTTAGGAGTCTTGGTCTGTCTCTCTTTTTCCTTTGTTCATTTGGTGTTTCCTTTGTTCATCATATGGTGTTTACCTTTCTCTGACTAGCTTATTTTGCTTAGCATTATACTCTCTAGCTCCATCCATGTTGTTGCAAATGACAAAATATCATTCTTTTTATGAGTGAATAATATTTCATTGTGTGTGTATGTGTGTGTATATACACACACACACATCACATCTTCTTTATCCATTCATTTAATGGTCAACACGTTGCTTCCATAATTTGGCTATTGTAATTAATACTGCAAGTAACATAAAGGTGTACATATCCTTTTGAATTAGGTTTTTTTTTTTTTTTTAATGTTTGTTTTATTTGGAGAGACAGAGAGAGACAGAGCATGAGTGGGGTAGGACAGGGAGGGGGAAGGAGACACAGAGTCCAAAGCAGGCTCCAGCTGTCAGCACAGAGCCTGTTGCAGCACTCGAACTCACAAACAGTGAGATCATGACCTGAGCTGAAGTCAGACACTTAACCCACTGAGCCACCCAGGTGCCTCTTGATTTAGTGTTTGTGTTCCTTGGATAAATACCCAGTAGTGTGATTGCTGGATCATAAGGTAGTTCCAGTTTTAATTTTTTGAGGAACCTCCATACTATTTCCCACAGTGGCTGCACCAGTTTGCATTCCCACCAGCAGTGCACAAGGGTTCCCCTTTCTCCACATCCTCACCAACACCTGGTGTTTCTTAAAGCTTTTAGCCGTGAAATATGTTTCTTAAGTAAGAAGACCTGAAAGTCAAAATAACTCCTTGATTCACAGGCTGCAGAATGAATGCTGTGTCAGCAGCATGAAAACAACATTCATCTCCTTGTGTGTCTCCATCGGGGTTCTTGGGTGACCAGGTGCATTGTCATCGAGAAGTAATATTTTGAAGGTAATTTTTTTTCCCTGAGCAGTAGGTCTTAAAAGTGGCTTTGAATATTCAGTAAACCATACTGTAACTGATGTGCTGTTCTCCAGGCTTTGATGTTCCATTTATAGAGCTCAGACAGAGTAAGGTTAGCATAATTCTTAAGGGCTCTCAGATTTTTAGAATGGTCAATGAGCACTGACTTTTGCTTCAAGTCCCTTCGAAGCTGCATTGGGCCCTAACAGGAGAGTCAGCTTATCCTTTGAAGCTTTAAAGCCAGGTGTTGACTTCTCCTCTCTAGCTCTGAAAGTCCTTGGTTGCATCTTCTTCCAATAGAAGGCTCTTTTGTCTACACTGAAAACCTGTTGTGTAATGTAGCCACTTTCATGAATGATCTCAGCTAGATCTTTTGGAGAACTTGCTGCAGCTTCTACATCAGCACGTGCTGCTTCACCTTGTACTTGTATGTTATGGAGACGGCTTCTTTCCTTAAACCTTATGAGCCTACCTTTGTTAGCCTCAGACTTTTCCTCTGTAGCTTCCTTACCTCTCTCAGCCCTCACAGAATTGAAGAGAATCAGGGCCTTGCTCTGGATTAGGCTTTGGTTTAAGGGAATGATGTGGCTGGTTTGATCTTCTAACCAGAGCACTCAGACTTTCTCCACATCAGCAAGGCTGTTTCTTTTTTTAAATTTTTTTAAATGTTTTATTTATTTAAACATTTAAAGAGAGAGAGAGAGACAGCATGAACAGGCGAGAGTTAGAGAGAGGGAGACACAGAATCCGAAACAGGCTCTAGGCTCTGAGCTAGCTGTCAGCATAGAGCCTGACGTGGGGCTTGAACCCACGAACTGTGAGATCATGACCTGAGCCGAAGTTGGACACTCAACCGACTGAGCCACCCAGGCGCCCCAGCTGTTTTTCTTTGTTATCATTTGTGTGTTTACTGGAGTAGCACTTTTAATGTTCTTCAAGAACTTTTCCTTCACATTCACAGTTGGCTAATGTTTTGGTGCAAGAGACCTAGTTTTCAGCTGTCTTGACTTTCAATGTACCTTCCTCACGAAGCTCCATCATTTCTAGCTTTTGATTTAAAGTGAGAGACGTGCAATCCTTCTTTTCACTTGGGCACTTAGAGGCTGCTGTAGGGTGACTCACTGCCCTAATTTCAATATTGTTGCATCTCAGGGAATAGGGAACCCAGAGAACAAGGAGAGAGATGGGGAACAGAGCACACACAACATGTATCCTTGAAGCTCACCATCTTACATGGGTGCTATTCCTGGCATCCCAAAAACAATGACCATAGTAACATCAAGGATGGCTGGTCACAGATCATCCTATGAAATGTAATAATAATGAAAAAATTTGACGTATTGTGAGAATCACCAAAATTTGACAGAGACACAAAGTGAGCAAATACTTTGGGGAAAAATGGTGCTGATAGACATGCCCAATGCAGGGTTGCCATACCCCTTCAGCTTGTACAAAACACAGTATCTGTAAAGCATGATAGAGCAAAGCATAATAAAACACAGTATGCTGCATAGCAGAGAAAACCTACCCTCAAAGAAGTTACGTGATTTGACTAAGGTCACACAGCAATTAAAAGGTGAAGTCAGAATCTAAATTTCCTGCATCCGTGAATTTTTCACACTGTAATTTTGTACAGCTGTGTGCATTAGAATCTGTACATGTGTTTGGCAATAATCAAGCTCCTTTGTAATGAACGTAAAGTGCTACCTGAGGGATATTAAAAGGGAATTAAAATTTTGTGTGATGAATTTAGAATTACAGCATACACTTTC